ATGGTTGTCCCGGCCTTGGCCGGCTTGATATGTCCGCCTCCCGTTGGCCCCCTACCGACTCGATCCGCATCAAATTGGGCTTCACCAGTCCGGGCCTATTGTTGTACCCGGGCCTCACTTATTGGTGGCCCTCGCCCCCCTCCCCGCCTTGTTGCACTTGCTTATACAAATGTCTAGCTCCGTGCAGTCGCTCGGGTGTTCCTTTGGGTTGGCCTACTCAAGAATTAGGCCTCGCCTCCATTCTTCTTGACTAGCATGTCTCTTTGCCTAGCTCGATGCTTCGCTCTCGCTAGCCGCCGTCCCTCCCGCTTCGCTCGGTCCCTCACTTCGTCGAGCTAGTAGCTTCCACGGTATGGTTTCGGTCTACTTGATTGTTTGTGTGGGCTCGGCTTCGGTTTGGTTAGGTTTAGGTGGTATTGGCTTTGGTCCGGTTCGTCGAGCTCCTTACGCTCTCTCGGTTAATTTGTTTTTTGGGTACTATCCCTCAGTTGTTTTGCCTCCGGTTGTCTCTACCTTGGCTAGCTCGATTAGTCCGCCTTCTCTTGTTCTTCTAACTCGCCGGTCCACATCGGATTAGGCCTCACCGAGCCCGGCTCCTCTACCGTGTTCGAGCCTCTTTTGTCTTGCACCGAGCACTGCTTCGGATGCTCGCTTTGTGTTGGCTCCCCCAACCCCCTCCCCCGTGGCTTTTCCGCCCGGCCTTGACCCTCTGCCTCGCCTTTTGCTTACGCTCCCGCTAGCCGTTGTCCATCTCTTATCATGCGGTCTCTTCTTTCGTCCAGCTTTGTGGATAGCCGAGCCCCGCCGCCCTTTGCTCCGTGAGCCGCCTGTGCGGTCAAGCCGAGTTGTAGCCGCTGGCCCCGCTAGCCCCTATTCCTGCTATCGTCGTTAAGGCACGATCGGGGCTATTTTTGGTTATGCTTGCTCCCGTTGCTCGGTCACGTCCGCTCGCACCTATTTGGGTAGGCCTACTCGGCTGTTAAGGCCTCCTTGTTCTATTGTTAAGGGCTTAAGACCTCCTTGTTCGTCAAGCTAAGCTCTTGCCGATGCTCCACTCGCCTCCCGGACTCCGCTCGCACTATTAGGGTAGGCTCTGCTCGCCCTTCCTATCTTGGCAACGGCTAGCCCAAGTGGCCGCTATCTTGGTCGAATGATGTTTTCTACTATATTCAATATTGCTTTTGTATATGGTTAGGCTTTGCTCTATTTGCCCTCTCGGCAAGGATTTTGTCTACTCGTTGAGCTTTTTGTAAAGGGTACTAGCTAGTTTCTGCTTGGTTCCTATTTGGTTTTTCTTGGAATCTTCACTAGATCGATTCCTTGAGCAACCATCTAGATATAGCTCCGGTTCCACCTCGTGAGAGCTCGTTCCCATTTTTGTAAAACCCGTATATGTTACTCTTGTCGGCTCTCCGACTAGTTTTACTTTGATTTATACACTTACATTTAAATCAAAAAAAAAAAGAAAGAGCTCCGGTCGATGCCTCGTCCGAATCCGCCGCCTTAGCCCTTCCATCCTCCTTCCCTACTCGACCTCTCCCTTTCTCCATCTTCATCCCTACCTTTTATCTCGCCCTTATCCTGTCTCCTCCTCGCTCCCCCTCCTTTTTTCTTTCGGTTTTCTCTTTCCTCGACATCTCCTTGTCCTCTCCTCTCCCCTCTCCTCGGCTCTAATGGCTAAGAAGAAGAAAACCGATTCTCCTTCAAAGGAGAACAAACGATCGAACGCTCAAGTGGCTCCTCCGTTTGCATCCATGGCCGCTCCTCCTTCTAGTTCCGGCTTGGTTGCGGACTCGGCTCATCGAAAACCTTCGCCGGAAATGGGGCTTTTGGATCCAAATCCTCTACTCGTTGCTCCTCCTCCTCCTCCTCCCGCCGAAGAGGAGGTCGGAATCGGCTCCAATGAAGCGGAATCAGAATCGAAAGTCGAAGTTTTAGAGGACGAAGATGATTCGGATTGCGAGAGAAAATTTAGGGGAAATTTTAGCTTCCCACCAAAAATTTTCGTAGTCAAATTTAACATCTCGTCGAAAATTTTCGCAGTCAAATTTGGCTTCTCGTCGAAAATTTTCATAGTCAAATTTTACGGATTTTACAAAACAATTGGGTTCCCGCTAGAAGCTTTCCACCGCCCCCATTCTCGCCCGAGTTGATTTCGCAGGTTTTTTCTCCCCCGCACTAGTCCAGCCCACTTCCTCCCAACCCGCTAGGTCCGCTTCGGAAGGTAGGGCAAGCGAGTGAGCCGTGCGCAGCCTACTTCTCCTCTCTCAAGCCCGACCGGCCTCCCAACCCCAGCTTTCCCCTACATCCGGACTACTTCGGGCCTAGGTATTTCTTCCAACTCTACCTCAAAATAGAGAGATTTGTTTGCCATTAATTACAACCTAGCTTTATGCTCGAAGCTCACACACTTCACCGCCATTATCGAAAGTAAGTCCCGTGTTTTGCTTAAGGATGACCCACGGTGCGAATTATGGAAATGCTACCTTATTGGCTATATTACGAGGAAATCTTTGGGTTTTTGAGCTCTCAATGGTATTATTGCTAGCTCTTGGAAATGTCAAGCCTCCCTCTCAATCCATGATTCGGGCCGGCTCGTTTATAAATTTGACTCGAAGGAAGCTCGGTCCTCGGTTCGAATGGGGGCCCCTCTCGATCTACGATAGGCCTTTGTTGTTGCAGCCCATGCTTGAGTTCTTTGATTTTTCAACTGTGGAAATGACTCTAGTTCCGGTTTGGGCGAAGCTTACGAATCTTTCACTTAAGTGCTAGTCTCCGATGTGTTTGTCAAAAGTGGCCATCCTCCTTGGTAAGCCCATTCGGTGTGATCGGCTCATCGCTTCAATGGAACGGATCTCGTATGCTCGAGTGTTGATTGAGCTTAAAATTATAGAGGAGCCGCCAAGAGTAATTAATATTAGGTTATCGAATGGATCCACTCTTATACAATAAGTGGTTTATGGAACTCTCTACCCACCGCAAAAAGTGTCGCGTTATGGGCCATTCCACGACCTCTTGTGTGACACCTCTAGTTTCGAGCAATCTAGCCTCGAGCAACCATGTGAATGGGGTGAAGATAGAGAGTCGACTCGGGCCTAGTGATGCCCGGCGCAAGGGTCTTGCGTTGTCGAAGTGCAACGTAGGCTCCGTCAACGAGGCCCGAGTCGGACCCAATGTTTTTCGAGGTCGAGGTAGCTTCGAGGGAATGGTAAACAGTTACTCGCAAAGCCATCACCAAATCAAGGTTGGCTCCTCGTGCGCGGCCTCGGCTCTCGAAGTCCGCTCGGTCGATGCCGAAAGCTCGATCGTAGGCCGTCGAGGGGATCATGCCATGGAGTCGAATTGGCTCATCATTATTCGGAGGGTAAAAATACAGCGACGGACCCCAATAGTGCACCTCCGATGCTTAATGCCGATCCTCGGTCGGTCCAGTGCGGTCCAGGACAATCGGGGGCAAGGGCGATAAGGCCGTAGAGTCGTTAGGGTCTACGAGTTTGGTGGCATGACGGTGAAGTCTTTGATGAGGGAATAGTTTTCGAGGAGGTTTCGGCAGCCGCTCGTTATCTCCTTAGGCCCTCTTGCCGAAGGCCTTCGAGCACCCGCTGGAGCGATCTCGTTCGGTAAAAGAGTCGAAAGGTTAAACACGAGTACTAAGGGGGTCCTCACCTCCTTGGCCGCCACATGATTATTCTCAATCGGAATGTGAGGGGTCTCAATAATCCCCTCAAGCAACATGAGGTTGCGGACCTCATGCGACGAGAAAAAGATTGATGTTTGTGCTTTGGTTGAGACCAAGCTCGGTCTCGCCAAGCTTTCTCAAATGCACTATTTTTTATTTCGAAAGTAGAGGATTGCCTCCAATGGTTCGAGAGGACTCCAAGGCTTGTATTGTCCTTTTATGGAATCCGACTATCGCGAAAGTGGATCTCCTTGCCAATACTCCATAAGCTCTCAATGTTAGTATTCGCGACCTTGTCCAGCGAGAGGGTATTTCAAGCTAACTTCATGTATGGTCATAACACAATTATTCAACATCAAGCATTATGGGTAGACTCGCGTTCTTGGGCTCCTCGCCGTCCGTGGCTTGTGCTCGGGGACTTTAATTCCATTCTCTCACAGGTCGACAACCACAACACCGTCGCGAGCTCTTCTTATGCGGCTATGGATTTTCAATAATGCCGCCTCGATCCGGGAGTCACCGATCCGCATATTTGGGGAGCCACTTCACTCGGAATAGTGGTACTACCCGGACCAAGATAGACCGAGTCCTTTCGAATCCGCTTTAGTCCATACTCCATCTCTCGGCCTCGATCCATTTCGAGTCCTCCGGTAGTTTCTTTGATCATGCTTAAGCATGGGTTTACCTTGACGATCGGACTCCTACCGGTCGATCGCATTTTTAGTTTTTTAACATGTAGGCTCACCATGCTCGTTTTCTCTCGCCGGTTGATCGACGATCGGCGCAGATAGTGCCTCGAGCGAGTCCCATGTTTGCACCGTGCCGTAAGCTCGAGGCTCTCAAAGGCCCGCTAAAGACGCTCAATCAGCTCCACTTTAGTCATATTTCGGAGCGGCTTGCCCGAGCCTCCGCGTCCCTAGAGTCTCTTCAACGGGCCCTTCGGAATGACTATGATAGCCATCTTTTCCTAGATCAAGAATGTCATTTACGGCTTGAATTGGTTAATCTTAAGTCCGTCGAGAAAATGTTCTTCGATCGAAGTTTAAGTGTCAATATTTAGAAGAGAGTGACAAGGGCGATCAATTTTTTGACACCCTCATGAGTTAGAGTCATATGAAGGACTTTATCGCAGCTCTTACAGTACACGAATGGCTACTACTTCATTAGCCGCCATGGGGGGCCTTTTCGTTGACTACTTCAAAACTCTGCTGGGCATGGCTAAGGCTACTAGTCCTATTGAGCCCGCCATAATCTCCCAAGGGCCTTGCTTAGCGTCTAATGTGCATGACATGCTCCTTGCCCTGATTTTCGATGAGACTATCGGGGTTACGTTATTTGGGATTGATAACAACAAAGCTCCCGGTTCGGATAGCTTCTCTTCGTTGTTATTTAAACGAGCTTGGGGTATCGTGGGGAAGGACTTTTATGCGACGATGGAGAATTTCTTTACCTCGGGTCGGCTCCTTAAGCAAGTCAACCACTCGGTGATTGCTTTGATCCCTAAATCGGCTAATGCATCATCATCGGTGGATTATCGATCGATATCGTATTGCAATGTGGTCTACAAAGTTATTTCAAAGATTCTCTCCTCTCGATTAGCCAATGCTTTGGTTGATATTATCGACCTTATGCAAAATGCATTCTTAGGAGGTAGGCGGATGTCGGACAATATTCATCTCCTTCGGGAGCTCCTTCGACGAGTATGGTCGCAAGTATGCCTCGTCGTGCTCGCCTTCTCAAAGTGGACTTCAAAAAATCCTTCGACTCGGTGCGGTGGCCATTTTTACGAGATCTCCTCCATCACCTTGGCTTTCTTAGCGCTTTTGTTCACTTGATTATGACTCGTGTGGATATCCCTTCTTATTTATTTTCGGTCAATGGTAAAATATTTCGCTTCTTCAAAGGCCAAAGTGGTATTCGGTAAGGTGTTCCTCTCTCTCCTTACTTATTTATTCCGTGCATGGAGTACTTCTCCTACATGCTCAAGCTTTCTACCACAACGGTAGATTTTCGGTATCACCCTCGGTGTGGGCCTCTTTGTATCGGTCATCTTACATTTACGGATGATATAATGCTCCTTTGCGGAGGGGATAGGCCCTCCGTGTAGTGCTTATCATCCCGGTTGAGTCAATTTGGCCGAATCTCTAGGCCGACTATCAACGCCTCCAAATCCTCTATTTATTTTGGGGGAATCAATGCCGACCTTAAGGAAA